AGACCAAAACGAGGACGAAGAGTGAATGTACCTGCACTATTTAAAACGATTCTAGGCTATATCACCCAGATTCTTCAACTGCTAGTCGCAGTTATTACGACAACCCGAATTAGATAACTTGGATATATCAACATCGCTCAAACTGACAGTCAGTGTACTCATAGACTGATATTTCGTGTTTTTTAAACACTCCTAGCTTTCATCCAACCTGATACTGTGGTGTGTGCTACTTATGTTGTATATGATGTTAGTCGTGAACAGAATGTCCGGCAACAGAGAGACAAGAAGATCGAGCAGTAAAGACTGAAGACAGAATGCAATTTTTATGATAATGAAGGAACAATGAAATCTGAGTCATTTTTAGACAATTGATGGACATTTTGCAAATTGAGCATTTACTATAAGGTTGTTAGATTTTACTAACTAGTTCTGTAATTTGTTTTGAAATATACTCGGTTGTCCCCACCCATATTCTAATCACTACAGTTCTACGTCAATAAACATCGCCTGTTGAGGTAGGCAGTGATTAGGCATACCTAACATTTGTCCTTGACACCTCATTAGATAAATATACTCTACCTCATCAATAGTTTTGACATTTTTATATGGTACCCTACGTTTAATCCCAGTACTGCCCATTCAGTGCCCTCAATATACACGAGCAATGAGTTGAAATTGTTTATCATCAGATGCTTGATCCTTTCAAAGGCAGCTAAGAGTAAGATATTCTGCTGTTAATAAAGTTTTGAAAGATGAGTAAATGTAATAGGTAGTAAGACAAAACAATATAGGACATCACAAAGCAGTATATGAATTCATGAAATAATACAAAAAACTATTCGTCAACTAACTAAGATTCAAACATTAGAACACTAGACAAATAAATACAATTAAATAAATTTATGTAGCAAAATGTACTTCAATTAAAATCAGAATACGTTATTATCGGTTGGTGGACACAGATGGGGCGAAATCGTTGGCCCCCAAATGCCCTGGTACGGCCGAGAATAGGGAGAGTCAGTTTTTTCTCTCCAAACGCTCTCACATGGCCACGTGCATACAACCACTGTCAGGGAAGTCCTACTCATTGCCTTCTCGCACCACGGGTGTTGTTTACGAAATTGAGAGGACAAAAAGCGAATATCTGGCGCTTTAACCAGGTTGCTAGACACAAGAGAGTTCACCTAAGGAAGTTGGAAAACCCTAATTTCAAATCAATGGTGTACATGAGCCACAGTATCCTGAAGTAAAAAAAGGTGTATGAACCTACTATTAGTCACTGGCTACCATGGGACTACATCTTCTTACGTTGCTCCACTGCCTTATGGATTAGGCTCCAAGCGTGGCCTCTTTAGGAAACCACTTGTTTCGGTCTAAACACTCGCGTAGTATCAGAGACCACACACAAATTAAATGACTTGTGTAGGACATTATTTATCTATTTATTTGAACACATAAATATTGGTACAAGAGGGCACCAAATATAAATGCGCCACACAAATCTTTATTTTATTTGTGTGTGGGCTGTGATACTACTCGGGCGCTCAGACTGAAGCAGGTGGTTTTCTTAGGGGACCAGACCCCGAGCCTTCAACTTAAAGGTTTAACCCACAACGCAGTGGAGCATCGTAAAAAGATGCAGTCCCTTGGTAGCCGGTGACCAACGATTGGTTCATACACCATTTGTTCCTTCAGGATACTGGAGCCAGCCCATGTGCATCATTGGTTTGGGATCCGGTTAAAGCACCGGACATTCGCTTTTCATCCTTTCATTTTCGTAAACAACACCCCCGCCACGAGAAGGCAGTGAGTAGGACTTCCCTGGCAGAGACTGTATACACGTGGCCATGTGAGAGCATTTGTAGATAGAGAGCGGACTCTCCCTACTCTCGGCCATGCCAGGGCATTTGGGGGCAGTGGTCTAAGGCGCTGGTTTTAGGCACCAGTCTTTAAGGGCGTAGGTTCAAATCCCACATCCACCTTGCTAGTGTAGCACATATGTATTCAGTATTCTTTTGTATCAATATTTATGTGTTCAAATAAATAAATAATTCATAATAATTATTCTATCTACTTAATTCTCATGAAATAGGCTAAGTTTTAATACCTCGAAATATATTCCAATTAGTTTAAAATTTGTAATATAAATAAAACTTAGATAGATTTCATAATAATAATCACTTAAATGTTCATATTACCGAATCACGTCTTAACTTTCTAAGATCAAGGTTAACAGTAGTATAATTGAAAATTAAGTTAATTTTTTAGTTTAATTTTGTCTAGTTTATTGGTTAATATACAAGCTATTACTATTGTAACTATTATAGAAATTCTTGAAATTATGTATTTGAAAAAAAATACATTTTTAGGTATTATGTTTCAGGATGAACGGTTTTAGTCTTGTTTAAAGTTCATCAGTTGTAGATTTATTTATTTCAATACAAATATAAATACTGAAATACTAGTTAAGTACTACTTGATGTAATAAATTCTGATGATAGTTCGTCATAAGCTCTGACTTGACCTGTTGTGTTCGAGTAGAGAGCCTATTTAAGATTAATTTACTTTTTTGATACTCCTTTCAATGACAAACACTGCCACATAACCATGCTTCAGATTTCCAATGGCTTTTTCAACCTCGTAAAGAGTTGGAGGACTTAAATTAACTTGCTATTCAGGTCGACTAGAAATCGTGGGAAACTGAAGTGTGGTTAAAGGTCAGTTGAACTGATCCCTAAGGTGTTCTGCCCGTTGATCCAATCTCCTGAATTGAGAATGAATAATATATCCATTATTTTTCGAGATAGTTTCGCTAACAGTTGGGTTCCTAATGCCGGTTTCCTTAACACGTCTGACTGACTGAGTTAAGTACTTGTCATTTTATAGGACAAATATCTATCCATTATGTCACTTGGTCTAATTAATAATCAATTTATTTAACAAGTAACAACGTATTTCTGTGGAATAGAAATTATAGATCCTACACACAGTTTTATAGAATGCATTTGAAGCATAGCAAGACTCATCACTTTAATTCTAAATAACAAAAGACATTCTAGGTAAGCTTTTTCTATAAACTATCATTCTGAATTGAAGTATATTATACAGTCTATATACTAAACTAGTTCATTTGGATCCTATCTACTTATGAACAGAAATATAAGTATATTAGCAAAAAAATTGATTTAAAAAAATTAATTATCATTTAAACCTTTTAGATCCACATAAATCAGTGTAAGACCCAGAAATGATACAATACTCAAATTATAATGACAGTGGTAGACGAAATCTCAAATATAGATTTATACATTATCCTACAGACATCTCAACTGGTAAAACACGTAACAATAGCTGAAAAAGTACAGTAAACAAGCGATTGTTTCTGAAAAACTTATCACACAAACGGACTGATAGATGGTTTTTGATTTGCATCATTACACCGTAGTGTATACACGCTTACATTATCTTAGCTTTTGAAGTTACTTTAATAACTAAAACAGTAGGTGGCTCTTGAGTCACTCTTACCGTTCTAATGACTAATCATTTCATAGAAAGTTATGACCTTATGCACAATTATTACATATATTCATATCCTCCTAATTCTACAGTTATACGTGTATGATTGCGCATGTCTCTACATTTGTCATTTTGTTCAATGCCCTTATATTGACGCTTGTAATGAATAATAATCCTGAATACGCTGAAAAATCTTTCTCCATTTTTCACTTCCACTTGCGTAAACAAATGTGTGAAAAAGACTCTTCCGACTCAATTCATACTTGGCTTCTATTATCACTGTTACCAAACAGAGTTAGTATAATATGATAGGCTAAGTGAAAGATTTATTTATCGTTACTAATCATGCAGTTCAGTTGTGAACTCAAAAATGCATTAAACTATTTTGACGGTAGACAACAAAACTGATAAAATAATATAAAAATTCCAAAATTGTCAAATGAATCATTTTAACCAATACAAGATTCTAAATTTGGGTCTGTTACCTAAACTCTACAACCAGCCTTTAAAAAGCTAGTGTTTTCGACAAAAAAACAGTACGTGCCAAAAAAGGCTTCTGTATCCATGCTTATAGGTTTATTGGTAATAAAACGTCAGTAATCGATTTTGCCAAATCATTACTTGAACAAACGATTTCTAACAAAACACTTGGATATTTTGTATACACGATAATTATGTGAGTATTTTCATGCCTTTTCACCTTCAGCAAGTACTTAATATTTTTTAAAAATGTATTCAGATAGTGATATGCTGTAACTGTATACAAATCTGTCGATGCTGTCTTTTAAATTATTTAGTGATTAGGTAAGATTGAGATAACAGCCTCGAAATAATAATCATTTATTTCCGGATGACAAGCGTTCGGGATACCAAGATATAGTTCAGGTTTCCCATATTATTAGATATCGAAATACTTTAACCAGTATGAAAGAGAAGAGTTAAGCAAAAATCAAAGGTGGTTTTAAACTCTAGAGATATTAAAAAAAGACAGAACGTTTTCATGATCGGCTTGATTAAAAACACCACAGCAGGTTGAATCTAAAACACATCAAAATATCGTCCAATCAGAGCAGAAAACCTTCACTGACCCTAAGAACCCTATTTGGCCTATAGAGGCGTTGTAGAAAATGTTAGACATAACTTGACAAAAAGCCTGCTTCTATTCGTTGTGAAATAATTTTAACAGAAACCTATACATTATACATGCAATAAAAGACTAAAAAATACTGATAGACACACAAACGAGGAAACCAACTTCTATCAGGTTCACTATTAAAACCAGGTAATTGGTGAGAGTCTACCAGATTTTGGATTACAGACACAAGATAAGAAATCAAAAACATTAAATTGTAATTATTTTACAGTGATTCAATCGTTTTATCTATATATGTTTTTTTGTTATAACGTGGTTCATCACGATTAAAAGTTAGATAAATCCAATAGAAATTAAACATGAAAAATAATTTGTTTAAACAATGACTCACCTGGAATGGAAGCATCCCAAAAATACAAAACTATATCAGAAATAATATTCAAATGAATCCACTGGTAAGCATTCCCAAATGAACACAGACAAAATATGAGTAGTGTAAACCATCGTCTCTTGTATAGGATGACCGTGAAGCCATCGGCCTCTTTCTTTTGCATTTATGAAACACTGTTATAATCAAATTAAAAACAAAAAATATGAAATAACACTCAGAAACGTGTGGTGCCCGCTTTTATAGTTCATTTACTGTACATGAAGTATAACACTTACTTGGTATCTATTTTAGTGCATGACATTAGTGGCTTCGAAAACAATGAGTATACAAATTGTAAACATTTTTAATTTCGAGACAAGTTACTGACATGTGTTTTGAATTTCGACTTTTGAAAATAATCAGAAGTAGGGATAGTGCGTAGTAAAGATGCCTCGAATACTTCTCATCAGAAGTATTAAGTCATTGTTAATCCTCATAGAAAACGTTTTCCATGGAACACAGAAAGATCTGACCGCGAAATAGGTTACGTTTATGAACATACAACTGCTTGTTAAGTACTCATGCCAAGTTTACTTAGTTAAGGTGTCCTAGTAGAGGATAACCAAGTATGGTTTTAATAAGTGTTGAGGTTATCTGTTGTATTATCATCCGTTAATTATTCAACAACGAAATATAAATATATAACCTATACAAATTGTGAGGTTTATTAAGTCATACGATTAAGGACTATGGTTTTCGTATAAATCTGTGACCAAAAGCTAACAAGTGGCACTCAATTAATCGATTCGACATTTGTAGCATTTAGTAAACGAAATATTTAATATAAATCAAAACAATCACCTTATAATTAAACGATTAATACAAATTTAGCTGAATTGTAGTACTTCATACTCATTTCAGTCCAAACGTATAGAGGTAACAAGAAAAGCTTATGTAATATGATGACACATCCAGACAGTTTAATTATGCTTGCTAGTCGAGTGTCCGAGATATATTCAGATAATTTTTCTATGTTGTGTACTAATAATAATAGTTATTACCTCAATATGTTGGTTTTGAATAAAATAATCATCCAGCATACAAAGCAATACAAACATTCACAAGTCTAGATATGAATCAACATTTTTAATTTACCCCAACCCTATGTTTAAGTGAGCTGCTTTATCAAAGAATGATGTAAAAGTTCATTACTCGGCAAATCAACACACACTTTTGGCATCACGATATAACATTCAGCATAAAAAAACTGTAGCTGCAGTTTTAAAGCTCATTTTAAAAGTCTTAGCACAATAAAATATAAATTTATGAGATCTAAATCCTGAAAATTTGTTTAATGTACAAAATCATGTTTGTTAAAGTGACTTTACTTCGATAACAAAGTGTGTTGTACGACATGTAGTAAACTAGAACAGTCAGTGTTAAAATTGATGACCGCACATGACAAGGTTAATGCTCGTACCTGATGCGTGTGACGGTGACATGAAAGCTGTTCAAACCAAGCACTTATAGGCAACAATCACCTTACTAGCTTTGTTGATCGATTTAAACACGTTCTAACAATTCTCTGTTCATTTCCAAAAATAGAGAATAAGACGATTTTTTAATAATTTGAACCTCTTAAAACTATTAAACTGTCAGATGTTAACCAAAAACTGTGGACAAAATATTGGTATTAAACATTTTTTCACTGAATATAAGTGAACGCATAAAAAGTATGGCACATATAACAAAACTGGCATCTAAAGTACCTCACTCAACACTTGGTTTCGCTTGGACTTTAGAGTTTGTAAAGTGTCATTAAGCCGTAGTAAGATCAACTGTCAAGTGGAAATGTTACTAGATTAGAAGAGATATCACTGAGTGTTGAGTAGTTTGCCAGACATGGTCACTTTCAAAGATGACTCATACAACATAATATTGTTGCACCACGGAATGACACAATGTAAAGGGCCTTGAGAGAAATTTTCTATGGTCTTTTCCTAGAATACATTTCTTGCGTAAGATCATTTCCAGGGAGTCGATTCAGCTGGTTATCATGAATAAATAGGCAAGACTGAATGTTAACCACGAAGTTTGAATCCGACTCAAGTTAAATGAAATTATACCACTGTTTTATAGTCAGAATAAACTGACTGTCGACGATGACCATCAAAATTATCGATGTACAGGGAGATTCTAAAACTGACAAGTCCTACTTTGCTCTGTACGACAATAATTTTATTCGTACACGTACATTATTATAAATCCAGATAGCAGCTAGCACAAATGATGTCTCTGAAACTATAAAAAGTTTGAATGCTTAGGTTGCTTGTCAATTTCCAATAAGTATACGCTCTTACTTGCAGAAAAATTCTGAAAGGTTGAAAATAATGAAAAAAAATTGTGGAAGACACGGCGACTTCCCATTGCAGTCAATACATACTCTTTTAATCACATAGCTGATCATTCGCATGAATTCCCAGTTCTTTTTTGGCTGATGATGCCACAGGTATCCGGAGTTTGACAACGCTTTAACCAGTAACACCTTCTAATGCGAAGCGCACCCACCAAGTAAAATCAAAAGACAGAAGTGAGGAGATCGAAGATATATTTGATAAGCTATCAATATATCGAGGATCGTTTGCACTAATCTGGCTAGCGATTGAGGCAGGTGTTGAGCACGGCGTTCTCAAACGTGATCTGGTGCGGATGCTTGACCGAGCGCCTTCAGCTAGATGAGTCCACTAAAACTGTGGTCAGCATCCAATGTCGAAAACTTACAGAGCTATTTGATTTTGGGGAATTATTTACCGCTACATGGCGTTATGACGTGGTAGTACGAATCAGTCAGTAACAGTATACTAGCGTAAATAATTTTCATGTTGGTGTAAAAGCATGATGAAACTTTTATTGAAAATAAATATCCCTTCTCTCTATATGTCGTTTTGTTAAGTATCCTAATATCAATTTTCACTCCACCGCTATATTTTTTTGTTCATATACCCAAGTGGAATATAATTATCTTGATCACAGTTATTAATACTTCCGGATTTGGTGCTTGATGTGAATCTTTGGAAAGAACACCAAGTAGAATTTAGTACATCAGTCGTCATTGTCATTATTTTCTAGACATTGTTGCTAATATCGTTAGCAAGTGGTTGGAGCATATGATTGTGATACCTAACTTACGTTCATTCAGTTATATCTCAGTGGTCAGACGTAAGGTCGGTTAAGTTGTTTCCTATTCTCAAACATTGACCAAGAGTGTATCAGCCGCGACACCGAGCCAAACCTAGTGGTCAAGCTGAGATTTTTCTTCAATTCTCTCGAAAGAATGACAGAAAATTACTAGTAAAGAGGTTTCCTGGATAGAATTGCCTAAAAGTAACACTACCGCAACTGTAGCAGACATCCGACGGAGTGATTCGTCTGCGTTTGTCAATTTTGACGTTGTCTAGGTGCGGCAGACCATCGGATATGCAGTAATCATTCTTTTAACGTATTGAATTACTTCAACTTGATCGGTGACAATTCTCTTCAACCCTACTAGTTTAGTGAGACAATTTTATTCTTATTTGATGAAAAGTTTGGTGCAGCTCGAACAGAATATCAACCTAAGCATCATCACGTACAGAACCCGGTTTAAAGTGACCTTGTTAATTTTGTATTGAGGTGAAAACTTACAAACTCTCATGTTTCGGTTTGGCAGAAAAGTGAATTACACATGATCAACATGATATGATTAACCTGAATAACTCATCTGGAAACGGTAATATTTGACATTAATCCAGAATGATCCAGTTAATAGTTAGGATTACATAGCTGGTGACCGTTTTGTTTACATTTGGGAAACTCAGTATCTTTATTTACTGGCGATTAGAGCTGCTTCTACTTTGTAACCGTTTGCCCATTATGAATACAGCATTTTATGTTTGTTTACATTTATTACTTTGTGGCAGATGTGTTTAATGCATGCAATTTGTCAGTAAATTGAGTTGATGGTAATGCATTTTTTGTAAAAAATCGCAAGCTGTGGTTCGTTAAAACGAAACAGCTCGAGTAATTAATAAACTGGCGAAAATATCACAATCACTGCTTGATCCAAAACTTAACTGCTTCAGCACGTCTGAACAATTGCTTCACTCATAATTACAATTTTTAAAAGACGATAAAAGCCATTAAGACCATTAAAAAGTTTACAGACGTTCAAAGTGGTATTAGACCGTACTTTTTCAACAGTGACATGCAGTTGATGTGACTCAATTACCACTGATGGAATAATAGTTCTCTCAGTCAAGAACACTCCTCCTACAATTAAGTTCGCGGTTAGTTTCTTCATGGCGTTCAACTAATCTTTTCAACGGACAATGTCACCCAAACATCAGCAATCTGCCTGTCTTCGTGTTATTATTATGTAAATCAATAATCTAGATAAACTGTCGAATGACTGAGGGACAATTAACGTCAAAATCACACCTCGCGTTTAGCACCTGACGTGGGTTACCCTTTCATCGTATCCAGGTATTATGGCTGCTTTAGTGAACATACAACACAAACGAAATTTTCGCAGGAATATATTCGTAAGAGTAGGTACAGGAAAGAGTGTGCGACCTCCTACTCATTAACTGGTTCACGTCGATTGTCCTTCAACTTGATGAGGATTAACAAACTCTTCGAGGTTCAGTGACTCAGCTGTCAGATGATTCGGCTAGGACCCAGCGATATTTCACTGGCCCTGTAATTATTACCACCATGTCTGTATGAATATGTAAGCTTGATCACATGTGACAGCTTAAGCATATATCCCCCTCTCCAGCGTAAATGTTTGTTGCTCGAACGTCACCCGATAAATCATTCACTTCCTGAATTTTCTTAACTTAGTTAACCCTAAGTTCGCCTCAGTATTCGCTTGCTTGAGCGTATCAGCTTTTCCACTCAAATACTCCTGATGTGTTTGTAATTTTTTTATCTGATCTGTACGGTGATAAACTGTAGTCGGCGTTTCGACTGTTCTTTACATTCACACACCATTGGGATATTTTAAGTCACGGTTTTCAGAGTGATTGACATATGAATCTTAAGGAATTACCTCAAAGCCAAGCTGCTGCAATCATACACAAAGAAAAGTGACAGATAAATTCAACTTCCATCAAAGTCGAAGAATTAACAAATGTGAGTATCAAAAGCTCCTAGAACAAGTAGGTGATGAAATTTAAAATCAATCACAGAATAAAGGTAATCAGTTCACTATGTGATAATCGAAAAATAGTGGCATAATTCATGAAGAAAAACAGACATCGGGGATTGCCCGGACTACTGAGATGAGAATATTCGAAAAAATTTGCAGCTACTTTAAATAATGAATTTTCAGGTTACTGAAAAGAAACCTAAAATCAAGCAAAAAGTTACATAATCGTTTCAGTTCATCTCATTACTTAACAAATCTCAAAGATTTCAAATGATTTTGAGCCGGCTAAACTGGGGTGGCTAAGTCTCTCTTTGGTGTAAAACGGTTGTAATTTCTAGAATCTCCACCCGATTGACAAGACACTTGCAGCCAGGCCCTTCGAATAACCTCATTGTAAATATGCAAAAAACGTGGAATCTGTACTTAACGTCATTAGGAGAGTGAAAAGTAATCAGTAAAATTTCTCTCGTTTGTCACAAGATTGTTAAATATAAGTAGTAAACCTCTCCGTTATCGTTCTATTAAAGACTGAAAATTGTATTCTAAACATTGTTTTAATTACTTATGGTTGTTTACCTTCTGGGTTGTCCAGAATTATAAATTTTGTGGAGGAAATGAAGAAAGATTACAAGTTGACTCAAATGTATATGCCTTTCTATGCAGCATGCATATCAGCTGCTTTAGGGTTCCTGTTCTTTTTCTTGTCGTTTTCCAGTCCTTATTGGTTGCAGTCGTATGATCGTGTACATAGTTCTTTTCTGCACATGGGGATATGGTCTGTATGTTTCGACAAATTTGTGCATCCACAAGTACTATTCTTAATAATAAGTCCGATTTATCAGAGTTTAGGATTACCACGCAAATGTGTTGACCGGGTGCTTTTGGGTATATGATCGTTTTTTCTTCAAGATTGGCATATGGCAGTGGCTAAATCCATACTGGTTGATTGGTGTTCAAGTTTTAATAACTATAGCATTTACGGCAAAATGTTGCGTCATTTTAATCCTGGTCTTGTATCACTTGTTGTTTGGCCATCCAGCTGCTGAATCAACTATGGCTCTTGTTGGTGAGGTCAGTAAGATAATTTAAATTAGTCACCGTAATCACCGTTACTTTATTCGCATAATTTAGTTGTTTTTATATCAGTTACTACCTTATCTGGGCTAGGGGTTAATATTCTTCTGTAACGAGTTTAAACTATTTTGTATAGTTATGCGATAATTAGTGTTAATTTTCTAGTAGGTAACCGACTACTCATCTCAAAAATGAAGAGCAGAGCTTACGTAATAGGATTTTGTTATCGCCGTTTTCGCGTATCATTCACCTTTGATAGAACCAGTGGGTTGGGATTTTTGAAGTCATTTGTGCAATTATAACTTAGAACTACTCTGTAGGAAGATCAAGTTTTTAGCACAGTCAATTTACTTACCGCATAAATTCTGCGATAGGCTTCTGTGAAGGGGTTTTTACATAAACAAGAATGAAATTTTTGAAACTGCAGGCGTAGCTTTCAACTTAATGTTATCAATTAATTATAAGTTGAAATAGGATTTTATATTATTAAGAACACTTATGAGGACTCCGTAAAATCTTGGATCGTCACACGTTATTTAAGATGCGTGTAAATTAAGTTAATAATGTACGACGACACACTATAATGTTCGTTAGAAGAGACTGATATACTGGGTTCAAAGTTATTTTACCCGGTAACTAAGTTGTCATATCCATAACAAAACATAAATGCGAGGGCCACTTTTCTGTCTTCGGGATAGTTAAACAGACGGTTTATATGTATTCCTGGGAATATTTCTGCTTCAAAGTGTTTGTTTTAGAAACTGATGACTCTCGGTTTTGTATGGAACTAAAGTGAGTGGGGTTACTGAGTTTATTACATTATGTCGTTGTTATCTTTCTTTCTCCAAAGGTAACCTGTTATAGAGGAAGACAGAATCGACAAACGAACGGTTAAATCATTCAAACTCTGTAGTCTTGATAATGCTTATGATCTGTCGTTTCAAAGTTATTGGTTAGTGAATAAATGAATTGGAGTATGTGGTTATAGATTATATAGTAAAGTATGAGATTAACAAACGTTTGGCATGAAGTCGAATATTATTCACAGTTACATAAAGATAAAGAAAAAATGTTACAGGTACTCAACAGAAGAAAGGGAACAGACATTTAGATCGAAAGGAAACGGTTTAATAGTGACTGTAACTAGCCATCAGCGACTCATTTTATTGTTGGCTATTACGATGGCCTAAGCCAGGACAGCGGTTGCATGAATCCTTCATAGACATAAAGGTCATGCTGGTGGCTTTAGCTGTATTTAAATGCAGTATACGTAAACTGTACGGTTTACTTTATAGGATCTGGTGGATGATGAGGAATGTATTGTTTACGTCCCCACGATGTGTAGTATCAATTAGGTTAGCTAGTATAAAGTTTTTTTTTAAAGTAAGCTCTTACTCAACCAAACATAATAGTGTTTAAAAATTTGGTTATAGATTTGTCCAACTTCTGCTCATTGTAACTGGCGCCTTATGGCAGTTAAATCTACTAATGCACATAGATAAAGCTAGTTTCAGGAGTTTGTTTTTATGTCCCGTTCTAATGAACTGGTAGTTTTATAACAAGGCATATGGCTCAGTTATGGCGATTGTATTTTGCAGAGCCTTTCTTACCCGTTTTGTTAATTATTCGCCGACTGTCGTTTAAGAACCATGATTTCAAATATATGGGCTTCTTAGGAACTGTCGTTGTCTCTAACTTTGTCCTAAGCTGGGTCATATGCTTGTCAATGAATTTTTATGAGCATGTCTCTGTTCTGAGTATTTAACTTTGTTTTAGAGTTATCGCCGGTGGAAATAAGTATGGCACGATGTGTTGAGCTGTTCACCAGGTTCTTCGTGCACCTAAGATATAGAGTTTTACATATGAGTGTAATAACCAATGTCGATTTGAGAATTTTTCAGACCCGACACCCAATCAAGGGTTATCAGACAGTATCTATAGGAATAGCCCTTTCATCTAAAATTGTTGGTTGATTTTTGCAAGAAAATTTACAAGAATAAAAACTTCCTTGCTTAGTGTCAGTAGATTGAGGCCTACCACATTATTAATGTTTTTATCCCTTAATAGTTTGTGCTACAATTACATAAATAATGAATACTATACTAACGATTTTCCATCCTTACTACTGAAATTTTTGATCTGTAATTTAACATTAATTACCTAACTTCATCTATAGCTTCGAGTTTACACCGGGCAACCATGATAGTTCCCTCAAAAATAATCAGTTCTCTGTGTGTACGAAAAATTCAGATTTGATTTCGTTTTATTAAGGATTTAAATAAAATTGTATCATGATTCATGATGTCACTGTGAAGCTTTTTGCTTGTGATATTTATCAGAACAATTAAAGGAAAATTTACCTATTGTTTAGCAATGTGAAACAGCATAATTGTACAATGCTGTTTTCATGCCGTAACCTAATGAAATGTCTTAACTTTAAAATACAACTATAGTGATTGCTTGTTTTATGTTTTACCAAAAGTCAATGTCATATTTTTCCATGTTTTCTTTTTGAATGATTCAGATATTTATAGGGATTCTTTTGACAATATGTATTTTAGTATTTGGTATTAGCTCACAAAGTAGAATATGGATGCCAAGACCTGATCAATATTTTCTATCATGGTCATTTGGTTTTATTATATTAGCAGCTATTTGTTCATTTATTTCATCTGGTTTCTTGTATTGTATAAGTTATACAGATCGAGCAGCTCAAGTAAGTGACTATGCAGTTAGAATTAATGTGAAAACAATTTTCATGAGTATTTATTAAAGACCATATTTTATAAAACATAAGGTACACCATTCTTATTTCTTACAAACTATTCTACATTTTCAGTATAGGGTTGTGGAAATTATTAAGTTTTTGACTGAGATAAATAAAGCGGAAAAAGTGAAGAGAAACAAAATGATACTCAGTGGAGGAGGCGAATGAGCCAACTGAAGTGATGAACCCGATGTGATAGTGTAGCGTGTCACGTTGAGCTCACCGCTTTTGTTGGCGCGTTATCTAACTCCAATTTGATCTTTTGTTAATAATTATCTAGTTATCGAAATATACATCCTAGCTGCCCTTGTATATAATTATCGATTTAACTCACATTAATGAATAACGGAATTAAATAACTCAAACACGAGAATGGATTTTAAAAACGTATATTTAATACAATCGTTGATCTGAACGAACAATCAGGAAAACGATGAGAATTTTTTTATTTATTTGAACACATAGATATTGGTACAAGGGGGCACCAGATACCTATGCACCACACATTTCATTTGATTTGTGTGAGCGCTGTGATACTGCCCGGGTGCTCAAACCGAAGATGATTTTCTTAGGGGGCTTCATCCGGAGCCTTTGAACTAAACGTCTGATCCACAAGGCAGTAGAGCAACGTTGGGGGACGCGGTCCCATGGTAGCCGTTGGCCAATAACTGGTTCATACGTCATTTGGTCTCTCAGGATACTATGCACCATTGGTTTGGAATCAGAGTTTTCCAACTTCTTTAGGAGGACTCACCGTGCCCACCAACCCGGTTAAAGCGCCGAACATTCGCTTTTCGCCCTCTCAATTTCGTAAACAATACCTTCACCCCGAGAAGGCAGTGAGCAGGTTTTCCCTGGCAGAGGCTATATACGTGTGGCCATGCGAGATCATTTCAAGAAGGAGAGCGGACTCTCCCCACTCTCGGCCGTACCAGGGCATTGGGGGCCCGAAAAGAATCGGAGATGGCATGTGAGCCAACTTGATTTAACCCCAAAATAATTCAATTAGATATAAGTTGATGAAGTTTTAACGTATGTTGAAAGCTAACTAATCATATACTGTAGTTATCATGGTGAGACTATGATTTATGGGCGATCTTTGAGCGACGCTAAAAGAACTTTGCGTGTCAATCTAATAACTAGGACCAAATGAGGGTTATAAACCAATGTGAGGGATTAGAATAATGATTTACAGTTAATGGTTAAGGTTAGACATTAGATTTAGGGTTTTCGTCACGAAATGACATTAGCTATACTTCCAAAACACTAATTAGCCAAATGAATGGGGTGAATTTCATGCCAAAATTCGAGACCTGTTATCTTATACCTGATTAGTTCGCCGTTATCATCAAAAATTGAAGTCAATCATGATAACTAAATAACTTTTTCTATATTCATTTAAGATCATTATGACTGGTTTACTTATATAGTAAGAAATTTGTTGAACCTTCTTTTCTAATAATAAATTCTACATGACAATCTTTCATATTTAATATTTATTTCTTCAAGGAAGAAGTTGAAAAATTCGAAGCTGTTGAAACAAATTATGGTATGCCAAGTGTTCTTTCCGGTCGAATAGGCAGTGGTGGTTTATATAGTGGAGGATTAAGTGGTATTGGAGGTGCAGGTGGTGTTGTAGTTAAAGTTCCATCAACTGGAGCTCGTCCTGAACAAGTATGTTTGTAATGAATATATTTTGTGTATATGCATATATTTATATTATTGTTAGATTATAGAGAACCATATAGATAATTCTCAGCATGAAACGATACTATCTATTAGAAATCAATATGTATACTTGATCGTTAGTTGTTTTGAGCAACTTCCAAGGGATCCATTAGTGATAAACAATCGATTTAAATAGGAAAAACATTTTAGAAAACCCTTTTACACATTCATAGATTCATTGGCTTCTGGTATACTATTCTCAATTGAACAGTAATTTCCAATACTTCCCAAACATCAATTACTTCAGTCACAATAACTTTATACTTTAATTTATTTAGTTGTTATAGTTACCTCTATGTTATTGATTATTATATTTCATATTTTGATATCTAATTATCTATGTATATTTTCAATACTGGTAAATCAAAGTGCTTGGTACCTGTGTGGTTACGCCACAGGATTGAGTTGTACTATTCAGATTGTAGCGTTAAAGCCTATACGATATCTAGTTCTACTGTGAAGCGGGATTGAGCTATACTGTTTGGGTTGTCACATGAAAGTCTGGATGGTGTCTAGTTCTCCTGAAAACCAATGTAAAACTACCCTGACCCATAAGGGTATATTATCTAACCGCATTCACTAGTCCTTATAAAGTTATTTCGATGCTATCATAGGTTATATTGTGGATTATACTGGATATTAGATGTTTATAATGAAGTGAATGATTTAATATCATTATAAACGTATATAACAAACCATAAATAGACTTAATTCAGTGAAATTTTAGTCTTAACCTAACCTTTTAATGAGTAATTCAAAGTGGAATCCAGTTATCAACTGCATAATTAATTTCAGTCAGTCAGTCAGTTACAACGTAGGATTAGGCACATATATGTAACGATCAAAGTTGTCATATGTCATTAGCACAACAAGATGAACACGGAATCCATAGAAGTAGTTACTTTAATGATAATTAGTCCTACTGCAAATCGAAATTCTATTATATTTTTCTGATGATAAATCTAGAAGGTAGTAGGCAATTAAGATGTGTATGCCCACTGCTAAGGAGTTCCATACTAGGACGAAACGACAGTCCAGTGCTTCCAGGTTTTTCATAGAGGTCTGCCTTCAATCGACTCATGAATTCAATTATAAAATCACTATATTATCTACAAAAACCTTTTCCGATAATAATAATAATCGTATGCTCACTAGTGACTGGCTTCACGTGGTATTTCCTGGAGTTCTAGTGAGAAGCAGTGACTGACCAATGGAGTTCAACCAGATCTGTTGTGAGATAGTAACTCACTGATGAAGACAATGGTGAACGGTGGCTCGATTTGGTGGATTGCTTGAAGTTAGACATTAACACCGTTGGATGCCGGTTCAGTAGTCTAGAGGTTAAGCGTTTTTACGCGAGACTGATAGATCCTGTGTTCGAATCTCGTGAAACGGGATCGTGAATGCCCACTGCTGAAGAGTCCCATACTGGGATGAAAGAATTTTTCAGTGCTTCCAGGTTTTCAATGGTGATCTAGCTTCAATGGACTCATGAATCCAACCATAAAATTATGACATTTTCTTAAGTTTACAGATTTACTATCTTGTTTTTAAAAAATATTGTTTGAAATACCAAAAGTTTTTACGGGCACTACATAAACACTCAGCTAAAAGGACGTAATTCAGTTATTTTTTTAAAAATAAAGTCAGTTTTGTCAACAAAATGTTTCTGTTCATGATGTTTAGTGGTAAACTGTTGAATAGGGTACAACATACCAAGTCTAGATTCGCTTATTTGTCTTTAACATACATTGTACATACGAGAGAACTAATGATACTATCCGACTGTTGGCCAAATGCAAATCAGATAGATTGGAACATGAATCTGTGACATAACAGTTGAAAGTCAAACTCTTAAACTTGTAAACCATTGCTCCACTGAATGTGTGACGATAATATTTCATTATTTATTGATTAATAATGCCATAGTTCACAAATTAAACCATTTCCATCATTTATAATACAAATATTATACAAGGATTATACTTTATCGAATATTATTAATGCGTACAACTTTGAAATTCTTATTCTCCTGGTAATCGACTGGATTATGAAGACATCAACATCTGAGGGTAAACATGGGATACAATGGATAGCTAGGATGCAGTTGGACGATCTAGACTTTGCAGATGATCTAGCTCTTCTATCGCACACGCAAATAACAAATGCAGGAGAAGACGACCAGTGTAGCAGCAGCCTCAGCAGCAGTGGGTCTCAATATACACAAAATGAAAAGCAAGATTCTCCGATACAACACAGCATGAAACAATCGAATCACACTTGACGGAGAAGATTCCCAAGATGTAAAATCCTTTACATATATGAGCAGCATTATTGATGAACACAGTGGATCTGATGCAGATGTGAAAGCGCGGATCAGCAAAACAAGAGTAGCATATTTACAACTGAAGAACATCTAGAACTCAAAACAATTGTCAACCAACACAAAGGTTAGAATTGTCAATAAAAATGTCAAGACATTTCTAATGTGTGAGGCGGAAACTTGGAGAACTATCAACGAATTCATCCAGAAGATACAAGTGTTTGTTAACAATTATGTACGCAAATTATTTCGGATCCATTGACCAGATATTATCAGCAACAACCTACTATAAGAGAGGACAAACCAAATTCTAGTGGAGGAACAAATCAGGAAGAAGCACTGGAAGTTGATAGGACACATATTGAGGGAAGCACCCAACTGCGTCACAAGGAAAACCATCACTTGGAATCCTCAAGGTCGAAAGAGAAGAGGAACACGAAAGAACACATTACGCCGGGAAATGAAGATAGACATGAGAAAAATGAACAAGAATTGGATGGAATTAAAAAAGAAAGCCCAGGACAGAGAGGATTGAAAAGTGCTGGTCGGTGGCCTTTATTCCATTAGGAGTAACTTACAGGCTTAAGTAAGTAAGTAAGTAACTCAATAACAACTCTGAAATGAATCACAATTGATTCACCACTGATTGTTTATCTCAATGTCATGTGGTAGCATCTTTATCTATGAAGCTGTATGATACAAGATCCAATCGATCAATAGGCACCAGTTCTTTTAAGATGACAGATACACCTTGCTGACCCAGTGCTAAAGTTTTCTTGTTGACTACTATCAATCATTATCTTATTTAAAGTGAATCTTTGTTAATTGAACAATTTCTTATTATTTAATTTAATTTAGGTAATTGCATTAGATTCAGATTTACGACCTATGGATACAGGACATGAAAGTATGAGTTTATTTTCACCTAGTATTGGAATGATAACTAATAATTTATATCATCATTATAAAGGTATAGAAAAACAATCTATTCCATTAAATAATCAACATTCTAATGAATTGAATTCCCGAACATTTTCAATCATTGATAGTGAACAAACTAGTCAAGAAACACCATTATATATAAATCATCCAATAACTAAATATAATAAACATGCTATAATACAACCATTAAATCATTTATCATCATCTCCATCACCATCATCATCATCTAATATGAAATCTTATTCACCATTAGGTGAAGGTGAAGATGTAGAAGATCTTAGTATGTTATCTGAAAATCCTGATCATAGACGAAATACAATCATTCAACGTGATAATAATAATGATTATAAGGATCATCATAGATCATCACCTTCTCCTATTAGACATTCATTACCAACATCTCAAAGTGGTTATCATCATAATACTACACGTTATTCTCATTATTGATTAGTGATATTGATTGATTGATTGATTGTTTGTTTGTTTATTTATATAATATACATTCATATCAATAGTTTGTTTTCAGAATTTTAAATGAATATCAATGTATAAATAGTGATTAGCCCTATGTTGAACCCACATAGGTTATTCTAGTTTTTGTGGATAGATCAATTCATTCATCTTGAATTCATATTTTGACCTTGTTATTGATTTACCTGTCATCTTGTTTTGGTTTACTTCACTTCTCCTCGTTTGGTCTTTGCCTCACATCGATTCGATTCGAATATAAATATTGAGTAACACTTAATTAAAAAGTAGTGACCAGTGAAGTTCAACCAGGTCTGTTGTAAGATAGTAACTCAGTGAAGACAATGGTGGATGTGTCGCTCAATTTCGTGGATTTGTTGAAGTTAGACATTAACACCATTAAATGCCGGCTCAGTGGTTAAGTGCTCGCGCGCGAAACCAGTAGGTCCTGGGTCCGAATCTCGCAGGAGGTGAGGTCGTGGATGCGCATTGCTGAGGAGTCCCACAATAGGACAAAACGGCCGTCCAGTGCTTCCAGGTTTCCCATGGTGATCTAGCTTTAACTGACTTATGATCTTAACCATTGTAATTAAAAAGATTTTGTTAACATGCCTCCTCTAATTTGAATGGTTTGGTCATAGAGCTGTCATTGTTCTTCTGAACGACATCATCATCGTCATCATCAAAAACTTCAAAATTATCCACCTGAGCTACAAATCTTCAACATGCCTTTTCTAATCTGTTTCACTTTGCTCTATCCTTTTCTTTTTCTTCACTCGGCCTATCTGATCATTTGTTCTGATCAACAATTTTTACAAAATATATAATATTCAATACTTTATTCTTGTATTTGATTTATTTCATTCCGTTATTTGCTAACGCATATCAAGTCGATAACGATAATGAGATGATCCAAATGAAGTCAGATATCCGAAGAACACTAGAGTATTTTAATAGCCTGAAATGGAGTGATACGCAGTGGAGAAGGTAATGTTAGCCTACTCTCTTTAATCAAGCATTACTCAATATTTATAGTCAAATTGAATCAACGCATGGAAAAGGCTAAACAAGGAGAAGCAGTCAGTCAGCTATAACGTAGGACCAGGCACATATATGTATTGGAGAAGCAAAGTAAACCAAAACAAGAGGAGAGAAAATCATTAACAAGATCAAAATATGAATTCAAGACGAAGGAATAAATTGATGTATCCAGAAACTTACTTACTTACACCTGTTACTCCTCACGAAGGAGCATAGGCCACTCATCAGCATTCTCTATCCAACCCTGTCCTGGGAAATCCTTTCCGAGTCTCCAATTCTTATTCATCCTTTTCATATCCGTTTCTATTTCCCAACGTAATGTGTTCTTTGGCCTTCCTCTTTTCCGCTTCCCTTCAGGATTCCAAGTTAGCGCTTGCCTCGTGATGCAGTTTGATGATTTCCTCAATGTATGTCCTATCTATTTCCATCGTCTTTTCCTAATTTGATGTTCAGCTGGAAGCTGGCTGGTTCTCTCCCACAGTTGGTTGTTGCTGATGGTATCCGGCCAATGGATGTTGAGTATTTTGCGTAGACAGCTATTGATAAATACTTGTACCTTCTTGATGGTGGTTGTTGTAGTTCTCCACGTTTCAGTTCGTTGCAGTAGAACTGCCTTGACGTTCGTATTGAAGATTGTGACTTTTATATTGGTTGAGAGACAGTTGTTTTGAGTCTCATATGTTCTTCAATTGAAGGAATGCTGTCCTTGCTTTGCCAGAAACTAGAATAACCTATATGAACTCAACATAGAGTTAACCACTATAATATATATTTCATTTCATTTATGTATTACATAAGTATAGAATGAATTTCATTTCGATGATAAACTTAATCATTCAGTAGCTATTACCATTTAAATAGAATATTCAATGATAATTTACCTATCTGAATGTAAAACATTCTCTATGAGACTTGAATGTTCTAGTGGGTATAATATTTGATAGGGTCACAGATGTATACTATTGAGAAGTCTTATACTATTACTTATACTACTAGTTTAATTAGGATCAGTTCGTAATGAACAAATAGTTTAGTTTTTAATTGATTCACATTCAATTAGATCTTACTAATTTACTTACATGTGTTACTGCTTGTAGAGGAGTATAGGTCACCCATCAGTATTCTCCAGTCAACTCTGTCCTGTGCAATCCTTTCCAGTTGCTATTCATCCTTTTGATGTCTACTTCCAATTTCCGATGCAATTTATTATTTAAACTTCCACTTTTCTGTTTCCATTCAAAATTTCAAGTTAGCGTTTGCGTCGTGAAACAGTTTAATGATTTCCGTAATGTATGTCCTATCCACTTCCATTGTCCTTCATAAATTCTTCAAATGGAAGCTGATTTGTTCTCAGACAGTAGCCTGTTGCTGGTGGTATCTGGACAACGGATGCTCAGTATCTTGCGTAGACAATTGTTGATAAATACTTGTATCTTTTTAATGATGTTTGTGTTAGTTCTTTAAGTTTTAGCTCCGTACAGTAGAACTGTCTTGACGTTACATTGGTACAAGAAAGCATCAAAAATATATATGCTCTGCACAAATGATTTGATTTATGTGAGAACTATGATACTACCCGGGCGCTCAGACCGAAGCAGGTGATTTTCTTAGAATGTCATTCTTTAAGTCTTTAACCAAGAGTTCTAATTCACAAGACAGTGGAGCAATATAAGGAGATGCGGTCCCATGATAGTTGGTGACTAAAAATTGTTCATACGACATTTGTTCTTTCAGAATTCTAGAACCCATGTACACCATTGATTTGCAATCAGGGGTTTCCAACTTCCCCAGGTGAATCCTCCATATCTACCGACCCGGTTAATGCGCCGGTATTCGGTTTTCGTTCTCTCAATTTCGTAAACAACACTATCGATGCGAGAAGACAGCGAGTTGGATTTCTGTGGAAGTGACTGTATACACGTGGTCATGTGAGAGCATTTCGAGAAGGAAGAGCTGACTCTCCCCACCCTCAACCGTAGCAGGGAATTTGTGGACGATGTAGAAATCAAGATGTACTTAAAACTTATAAATTGCAGTTGATCTCAGGAGAAGAAATAGATTCATACACAATAACTAATTTCTATCTCCTGGATATTTCATCCAACCTTTTTAAACAGCTAAATAATTTAGATGTGAATCTCTAACTAGAAAAACATCTGATTCAATAGCCTAAACGCATATTCATTGTAACTCCAGTGAACGACTTCGACTTCATTGTTGATATGTAGTACTGAAAGTAAATATGACTGGTTACTGAGTTTTGGTAAACAGATACTTAGCTTATTGATTATTAAATATATGATTTCCTTACTGATTTTCTCTCTGAACTTACTGAGTGTAAACTACTTGTAATTATATGGAATTAATAATCAATTGATGAAGTAGTGAAACTTAATCAGTTGAGATGGCTGGGACGTGTTTTACGCATGCTCGACCACCGACTGCCCCAACGTGCTATGTTTTATGGTGTAGAAGTAGGTTGGAAGAAAGCTAGGGGTGGCCAGACCAAAACATGACACAAATCCATGAAGTCACTTACAAGTGGACTGAGACATGTTGGTAGGTATAGACTAACTGGTTGGGGTCCGTGAGACGATAGCAACCGATGGTTAATCTTGAATGAAATGGCTCAAAATCGTTTGCAACGGTGCAGGTGCATCCATTCTTTGTGTTCTCTCAAACTCTAATCTTCTGAATTCATGTCCGTTATTTTCTTTCTAAATCTATTCCACTGGATTATACTCCTTGAATAACATCATCAAACCCTAATGTTCCCTATCTCTACTTATACTTTCACTACCTCTACCACTACGGGATTTGAATCGATAACTGAATCTCTGTACTAATGTGGTATGGCAACTTGAACTGATGTACGTACGTACGAAGTTCCACGTTGTTACTGACTGATATGGAATTAATTGATTACCTATCGTTACTCTGGTACTCTATTCTTGATCGTGAATTGGTTATCTAATATAATATGATCTGGTCTATGTATAATGAATCTTTCGATTAATCTCAACTAATTGTATTATAAACTTGGTGATCCAATTTAGTCTTATTACCGTAGTGTACCACAGAAAAAATCCCTTACTTCAAAGCAGTATGCTTGTAATATTTCTTGGGATGGCTTCCCAGAAATTATGATGGAGCCTTCAGATGACCTTAAAGATTTGAGGAGTTTCCATCCAATCAGAACATGATGGAGCTTTCTAGAATGTCAACGTGGCATTCTAATATTGCACAGTAGCTTAATATGCCTCTTTACGGGTTGGTTGAGTCATAATGTTGATGTAACAAATGCTAATATCTATAAACCCCGATGATTTTTTGTACGTTTTGATTCTTATCCAACAATCAAATCTCCGGCTTCTGATTTATGACTGAGGGGGTTCTATACGTTCGAGTGCCATAGTTGTATGCCGTATTATGTGTTAATCAATTAACGAACTTAGCAGTATTATTTACTGATTAACTATAAAATAAAACAAAACATTTATCTAAATAAACAAAGGTGGATATTGGCTAGTAGTGGAATCCTGAACACGTGTTCCTTCATATTTAGGACTCGTCATCTGAATGTACCTGCATCTCAGAGTTGATTTTCACTCTAGGACTCGAACTCAGAACCGTTCGCTTCATATGCTATCGACGAAACGTACGTCCTGGATTCAACAACTACTAACCACTATCCATTTTTGTTTATAACGCTTGTGAATTAAGGCAATATGAAAGCAATCCACACAATATTCACGTATGCCAATAAGCCACTGATCAATTGCAGTACTAAACATCAATAGAATGTTTCAAGTAAAACAACTTCAAATGAATTTTGACTTCATCGTCATTGTACAAGCAAGCGGTTATCAGAAGTCAGTAACTAAGTGGATAACGCGATGATATTTGAAGTGAATGATATTGAATTCGAGTCTCAGAGTGAACATCAGACATATAATGTAGACATATCCATCTGACGAGTCCCAAATAGAACGTAGTAACGCACATCATGAATCTCACTGTTAGCCATTATGCATCCATACTTATAACGCTTGTGAATTAAGGCAATATGAAAGCAATCCACACAATATTCACGTATGCCAATAAGCCACTGATCAATTGCAGTACTAAACATCAATAGAATGTTTCAAGTAAAACAACTTCAAATGAATTTTGAATTCACCCCCATTGTACAAGCAAGCGGGTATCAGAAATCAGTAACTAACTGGATAACGCGATGACATTTGAAGCGAATGCTACTGAATTTGAGCCTCAGAGTGAACATCAAACATATAATGTAGACATATCCAGCTGACGAGTCCCATATAGAACAAATTAGCGCACATCATGGATCTAACTGTTAGCCACTATCCATCCATACTTATAATGCTTGTGAATTAAAGCTATATCAAAGCAATCCCTACAGTATTCTCATATATATGTCAACAAAGCACTAATCAATCAAAGTCTTAAAACTTCCATAGAAACATTTCAATAAAACAACAATATCCATTGAATTTATTTATCTAAATACTTTTCACAATTTCCCTACTAGAAATAAATATGTGAAAGAAAAAAAAAGAAAAAAAAGAAAATTATGTAAAAAGAAAAACAAAAAACAACAACAAACAAACAAATAAACATTTGGAATATTTAATTATCACATTACATAATTGATTTGAACAACACCGATCATGACAAATAATCATATGTGGGGGGGGGCGAAAGAAAGGGGGGAATATCGTTCATGTATACATTGTATATATATATATATATATATATATATATATATATATATATGGTCTCTATATAGATGTCTATCATTATATAGAGATATATATTGCATATTTACAATAGAGAAAGAGAAATCATCTTCAATGATGATACCAGTCAATGATACCATAAATGGATCATCAACTGATGAATATCATCTTGATTTGTATTGAATATACTATACCATAGATGTACATAATGGATAAGTGATCCTTTTAAAATAACATAAACATCATGTAACATTATGGAAGAGTACACATACACACACACACGCACACACACACACACATACAATCAACTATAAATGAAATTACATAAACAATATAAAGATTATATAAGATCATTGTTGATTTGGATCTATCACCTAACTGTATATGTATCCATTTGTTGTATATCACAAAGTGAATGATATAACAATAATAATCATGTATAATACATGATATTGATCATTCTTTATTTTATGATCCAGATCAGAAAATATCAATAATAATTATTATTGATTATAGATCATTTTTATCTAATAAATTCTCTGTTATACTATTATGGGGTGAACTTAACCATTCTTCTAATGATACACTTAATATAGAATGATGTTGTTTTTGTGCTTCAATTTGTTGTTTATATTGATTAAATTCTATATCTTTACGTTTCATTAAACGTCTTCTTGAACCAGCCTAAAGAAGATAAAAGAATAGAAGAAAAGAAAACAGAAATTAAAACAAACAAAAATGTGAACAATTGAATGTACTTGAATACAAAAGTATCGAATCTCTTAGTGATATGTACTACTTGTATCGACATAAGTAGTACACTCCATACTAAGTAGCATCTTAGTTTCAGGCGCTTATCGGTATCCACAGAATAGCATGCTTCCGCTGTCCTAGTTGGCAGTGACACTGAATGTAGTGAACGAGAACATAATTGGGGTCAATTAAATGTATCTCAACACAAAAATTGCAGAATCTCTTAGTAAAATCTAAGAATCATACAGTAAATACTTCATTTTCATAATATCAATCAACCAATTGCTTTTTGTTCCCAATTCTTTCCTCCTCGATCTTCTTGATTTTATGCTGTTAGATATTCTATTTCTGACTAGTGTTGTGTACTACTTATATCGATATAATTAGTACACAACACACCAACTAGCATCTCAGTTCCAGGTTTTCATCGGTATCCGCAGAATAGCACTCTTCCAACCTCCTGGTTGGCAGTGACATCAAATTTACTGAATGAGAACACAATTGGGGACAATCAAATGTGTTACATATTTCAATAGTTTCTTATAATGATTTTTATGATTCATTTATATCTTCTATTGACGTAATCCATTAAACATGTTGTGTGTGAGGATGACCCACAAGTGAACTCGAGAAAGCTTTAAAAAGTTCAGGAACCACCAAAGATATTCCATCCAATCATCTTTTTGGAAGAACATTTCAGAATCTTAATGTAGTGCTTTCCTATTAGATAAATGCTAACACCCCCCTTTGTAAGCGGATTGAATGACTATAATGATAATTTCGCTTTTACTAAAAATTATAAATGCCTGAGAGTTTTGTATCATATTTGGTACTGTTTGGAATAACATTCCTTCTCGCTTGTCTTCTATCTTCATATTTGCGACTTGGAGGGTTCTATCGTTTGGTTGCTAAAGTTGTACACAATATATCAAGAATTTAAGTTCTAGATGTAACATGATCTTTTATTGATTAATGAATATTTAGAATCTATTTAACAATTGATAATTCGATAGGAGTTTTATGGATATTATAGTAATTCAATAGATGAATTCATGAGTCAATTTAAGCTAGACCACTATGGAAAACCTGGTAGCACTGGAAGGTCCTGAGTTCTGGGTTTGAATCTGGCGAAGCGGGATCGTGGTTGAGCACTGCTGAATATTTCCATACTAGAACGAAACGGCCGTCATATGCTTACAACAGAAACTAACTTCTATTCTTGATACATAAAATCTTCATAGTGATGGGACAAACTTTTTGTTAGTTTTCTTTCCTAAGATTCTTATTGATTGATTGATAAATGAAGAACTTCATGGTGATATTTTGAATGTTCATTCTAAATCATTTCTTACAATGTTATAATTTCAACAGTGGGGTGGCAGAGTTTGTTCACTTTTGATGAGGTCACGAAGTGATCTATGCTAGACAACTATTGAAGACTTGTAAACATTAGACTTCCATTTTTTCCTGTAATGAGAGTCTTTACCAATAAGTGTTCACGAATTCATCAGAGGGAATCGAACCAAGGGCTTTCAGTATAGTATACGAATGATTAACCTTTACAAGTCTAATTTCAATAAAAACACAATATGACACGATTATCTTCTGTTGTACTCAATACACCAATTCCTCACACCTAAAATGATTGACGATTACCTTTAAGGTACACTTTAAAAACAGATGAATGTTGAATAGTGTTGGTAATTTCAAATTGAAGAACTAAAATTGAATGGTTATGAACTTGGTTCTCATGGAGATTATACAAATCAATATCTTGTTCGTCGATCCAGTTTCTTTCTTAATTTATCAGCAGAACAATTAAAATGCATTGGAAATGTCTCTTTCACGTTAGATAACCTCTGGAACTGTCTACTTCTCCTAGGAGTGGTTAAACAGATTACCAACCATATGCTCAATTATACAATACTAACTATTCTGTACACTTTATTATTATTATTATCATTATTATTAATTAGGAGCAATGGTATAAGTATGCTAATTAATATGCACTTACATCGAGATAAACTGTTAATCCAAATAACACAGAACCAAGACAATAACAACTGAGTAAACTGTACATAACATAATGTTCATATTCTAAAAATTTTGGCTTTGAAGCAGATACAGCACGAGCTATAGCATGCCATACAGTGAGAATAACAAGCATGAAAAAATTCACCAGGACAACTTTATCCTATGAAATAAATAAAAAAAATTCCAAATAAAATCTTTTACTCAAAATGTTGAGCTACTTACAAGTAGTTTATATTTTTATGCATAAATAATAGAGTCTTAAGTGAATTAAAAAGGAAAACAATCTCCTAAGAAGATCATTTCTTTTAATATAGTTTGAATAGAAAGATTACAATAAATATAGCTAATCCATAAATATTTCAGGATGGAATCACTATTAAAAGTTATTACCACGGAATCATTTGAAGATTCATAAACTTCGTTGAAATAAAATCAAATAAACCTCAGTATACTCAACTTTCAGTGCTTTATGGAAGTGTACCGATTGGATACAGAGATCTAATGTTAGAAGTGAGCAATTTCATTATGATGCTTTCAATGCCTAGGAAGAATGCTGATCTGATGATGTTGTCTAAAGAGACAGTGAATGGATTAAAACTAAACCATTTAGCTTAAATAGTATAATACCTATAAAATCTACATCCTGAACTACAAATTTTATACGTCATTTCAAAAATGTAAGTTTTTATACTCGTTTAGTTATGCGTTATGTTAAAAAAGAGTATTCACTGCATCAATCATTCGAGTTGCGTGAGGGATGGGATACTACTCGGATGCCCAAAACAATGCATGTGGCTTTCGTAAGGAGTCACACACTGAGCCTTTGACTTAAAAGTTTAATCCAAACGATGGTAGATCAATGTTAGAAAATGCAGCCCCATGTTAGTCGGTGACCAACAATTGGTTCATACGTCATCTGTTCCTTCAAGACCCTGGAGGCAATATATGCATCAAGTTTTAGAATCGGGGTTTTCCGATTCCTCTAAATGAACCCTTCATCTTCACCAACCCGAATAAAAAGTCAGAGATTCGCATTTAATCCTCTTATTTTCGTAAACAACATCCTCGTCACGAAAAGGCAGTGATTAGGACTTCCATGAGAGTGATTGTGTGCATGTGGTCATCTGAGAGCATTTCGAGAGAGAGAGAGAGATCTGGCTCTTCCCCATCTCGACCATACCAGGGCATTTTTAGACGATGTAGAAGTCATTGTAAATGTTATGCATAGAAAATATTAGATGGTGATTGGAGGTAGTCGACAGGAAATCCTGGACCCGGGTTTCGTGCTACTTGGCACTCGTCAGCAAGGTGTACCTGTAATCTTTGAGGGAACTGGTGCTCTCTGGTGGATTCGATCCCCCATTGCAACATGGTCGATAGCATTCGGTCTGCACTAATAATAAGGACTAGACAAGCATGACATTGGTCACCACCCAGTGATCAATCAATTGTGATTACATCTCAGTCCTAAAGGAGGTCGGTCGCGGCCCGGATAGCTCAGTGGTAACATCTCTGACTGTGAAGCTGGGTGACACGGGATCGAATCCGTCAGGGAGTACCAGTTCCCTCAAGATTACAGGTACACCTTGCTGACGAGTGCCAAGTAGCACGAAACCCGGGTCCAGGATTTCCTGTAGACTCCCTCCAATCACCATCTAATCTCACAATAGTGCCCTCAGTGTCGAGTCACCTAGACTGGTGGCCACATTGCAACATGGTCGATAGCGTTCGATCTGCACTAATAATAAGGACTAGACAAGCATGACATTGGTCACCACCCAGTGATCAATCAATTGTGATAGAAAATATTGTTTTATAGCCTGTTTACCCTTTGATATTATAACAATAATTTTAATCGAAAGTCTCATCTAATCAACCTTTTAGTTTAAGCAGCAAAGTCACTAGGCAGGTTGAATGAGAAATTGAAGGAACTTAGTTCCTTGTAAAAGAACTGAATCATTGTTGATATTAAACAATACCGGAAATGTATAATTATTGATAAATGGATAATCATTATTCATTATTATTTCAGTGAATTAAGTAGTATATATATATCATAGAAGTTTAAATACTTCAATGAAATGATTAAAGGATATAAAACTTAAACAAGATTAGAATATTACGTTGATCACTTAGATTTGAAATGAAAATAGATAGGGGATTTGTTACTTTAAGGAAAATACATCAGTACGAAGTTGTGGAGATTGTTCAGTTTTTGAATGTGATCATGAATCGATAAATGTTAGACTACTATGGAAAAGCTGAAAGCACTAGATGGATGTTTCGTTCTAGTATGAGACACTGTTGGATGCCGGCCAGCTTATTGGTCTAGAGGTTAAGAGTTCACGCGAGAGATCCAAGTTTGTGGGCTTGAATCCCGCGTACAGGATCATAGATACACACTGTTGAAGATTCCCATACTAGAATGAAATGATCTTTCAGTTCTTCTAGGTTTGGTTTGATCTATGATCGATCTATGATCCCAATCAACTAAACAAGTGCATGAGATCAATATTTCTATTGTACTTCAGAGCCTAAATCTTTTTTTATTTACAATATGAACTACTTATAATGTCTTATAGTAGGGTAAAATATATTTCACTGGTTGAAATCATAAATCCATTGAAGCTAGACCACCATGGAAAACCTGGAAGCACTGGACGGCCGTTTCGTCCTAGTATGGGACTCCTTAGCAGTGCGCATCCACAATCCCGCCTCGCGAGATTCGAACCCAGGACCTATCGATCTTGAGCGCAAGCACTTAACCTCTAGATCACTGAGCCCGGTAGGCATCCAACAGTGTTAGTGTCTAACTTCATCTAATCCATGAAATTGAACGACATATCTTGTTAAATAGTCTTATACTACTATACAAGTATACATTAAGTAGATTCAATAAATCAATCACGGCAGATTACATAATACTTGCAACATTTAATTGTGTTCTGTTTTTCATTTACCGATACAATACAATGACTTTGTTAGAATAAATGATGGTTAGTAGATAGATAGCTAGAAAGCCTCTATAGAAAAAGGAATGCTTCAGTTTCTGTTAAATCCTATCTCTCAAGATACTTAGATATATATATGAAAGTAATCAAGTATTCTCATTGGATAAAGAAACATCCTCAGATACAATACAAAGAGCACCGACCCAAACACATTTAATGGGGGAGAAGCTATGGAGAAGATGAAAACTTCCACATATCCGGATAGCATCATCGATGAAGAAGGAAGATCTGATGAAGATGTGATGGTAAAGATTGTGAAATCAAGGGTAACATTCATACAGTTAAAGAACATATCGAACTCAAAATAACTGTCAACCAACACCAAAGTCACAATCTTCAATACGAATGTCATGATAGTTCTACTATATGAAACTGAAACTTGGAGAACTACCACAAAACATTACCAGAAATGTACAAGTACTTATCAGTAATTTTCTACGTGAGATATTCAATGTCCTTTACTTGTATACCCCCAGGAACAACCTGCTGTGGAAGATTGTAGTAATTTTTTAATAGTTGAAAACCGCCATGGAAATCCTGGAAGCAATGGATGACCGTTTCGTCCTACTATGGGACTCCCCAGCAGTGAGATAGTAACTCACTGAAGATAATCATTGGACGGTCACGAAATATCGTGGATGAGTTGAAGTTAGACATAAATACTGTTGGATGTCGACCAGCTCATTAGTCTAAAGGTTAGGCGATCTCACGCAAGACCGAAGGTCATGGGTTCGAGTCCCACCTCTGAAGAGTCATTCAGTGCTTCCAGGTTTTCCATGATGGTTTAGCTTTTATAGATTCATGAAGTCAACTATGAAACAAGGTTTATACTCAACTGATTTATTAATCTTTGTATTCTTGACAGACCAACAAGTAACTAAACAATTCGGTAAATATAGAACACTGAAATGAAATCTCATCAACGTTATAAATCATCACTAATCTACGTAAAAGTGTACACATCCTCTAAGATGATGGAGAAGATTTGTAGCTCAGCTGGATGATTTTGATGGAGTTTTGTTCTCTGAGCTAGATGGTTTGGTTGTGGAGCTTTCATCGTTCTTCTGAATGACATCATCAGCACAAACTTCAGATTGATGATGTCGTTCAGAAGAACGATGAAAGCTCTACGACCAAACCATCCAGCTCAGAGAACAAAACTTCATCAAAGTACACATCCTTTAATGTTTTCCAGAATACATATTTTATCTTGTTTATTCATTTAGATTTGTCAACATTCATTGATAGTCGATATAATGTGTTGAATAGATGAATCTTTATCAAGACCCCCATTCTTAATTCATGAGTGTTAAAGTGAATATCAACATTGAGATTAATATAACAACAAAGAAATCTCTTTATAAAAAAGAGTAATATTGAGACATTGACTAAAGTAGACTATATACAATGAAGAAGTCTTGAATATCCACAAAAAGTGGGAATTTCATTTACGGACTAGTTATTGTTCTTGTAAAGTTCTTGCTTTTATATATATATATATATATATTAATATATTACTGCTTCTATGAATCCGGTGTTTATCTTAGTGTGCTAATGCGATATGGCAACTTGGACCGATGCACATGTATGTGGCTGGTCTTACGTTGTAGCTGACTGACAGACCGACCGACCGACTAACTGACTGATTGATTGCATAGTTCATTGTCAAGTTGTAGTTCACAACAGAATAGATGAGTTTCACATGGGTGGTTTATATAGTTAAGTTAAATACTCCATAATTGAAAGATTAAGTTTTATCTCTTTTAGTTTATCTCTGTTTATTTTATTTATCTTCACATATACATACATATGTATGTACGTACATACACAAATACACATTATCATTATTATCAATGGGACGGTCTGGTATTGACATAGGAATGTAGTAAGTGTTGGACTGAATATTTATTTATCTATACAAGTATGAAGAAAATATTAGATTTTATAGTTGAATAGATAAGTCAATTAAAGCTAGACCACCATGGAAAACTTGAAAGCATTGGACGACCATTTCGTTCTACTATGAGAGTCCTCAACAGTACGCATCCACGATCCCACCTCGTGAGATTCAAATTCTGGTCTCGTGTATGAGCGCTCAACCTTTAGACCACTGAGCTAGCCGGCATCCAACGGTATTAGTGTTTAGCGTCAACCAATCCATAAAATTGAGCAACAACAAACCTGGCTGAACTCCAGTGTTCAATATTCTCTGTTGCTCAGTGATAACTGAGTAGAAATCTCTACAAAAGTCCTTATTATCAGAACAGTATTCGATTGTAAGCCCTCTAATGCTCTGGTACGACTGGAGTTGAGGAGATTGGCCTAGCGCTCTCGAAATGCTCTCATGTAGCCGTGCGTATACAGCCACTCACAAAGAAGTCCTACTCACTGCCTTCTTGAGGAAAGGGTGCAGTTAGGATATTAAGAAGACGAAAAGCGAATGCTGGAGCTTTAACCAGGTTGTTGTACACGGAAAGTCCACCTAAGAGAGTTGGAAAACCCTGTTCTCCAACTTATGGTGCACATCGGTTCCAGGATTCTGATTTAACAAATGATGTATGAACCAATTATTGGTCACTGACAACCATGAGACTGCATCTTCTGACGTTTCTGCAGCGTATGGTGGATTAGACTTCTAGGTCGATGGCTCCGAGTGTGGCCTCCTAAGAAAATCACATTCTTCGGTTTGGGCACCCGGGCAGCATAACAGCCCACACACAAATCAAGTGACATGTGCGGCACATATGTATTTGGTTCTTTTTTGTGTTGTAATAATAAGATTATAGTTGAAAGTTGTAAACAAAATTAATTAAAACTTTCAACTTAATGCTTCATTAATCAAGATAAAACGAATTTACAATCCTTTTCATTGAGATCACGAATCGATTGATGCTAGACCACTATTGATCACCTGAAATCACTAGATGACCACTTCGTCATATCATCAAACTCCTCAACAGTGCGCATCCATAATTCCATTCTCGGGATTCGAACCAAATCTCTTCAATTTTGTACACAAACGCTTACCCATCTATAATCTTAGTTTGTAATAATGCCATGGTACAGCCGAGAGTGAAGAGAGTCCGCTCTCCCTCTCCAAATGCTCTCACCTAACCACGCGTATATCGCCTCTTCCAGGGAAGTCCTACTCAATGCCTTCTCGCAACACCGGTGTTGTTTACGAAAATGAGAGGACGAAAAGCGAATGTCCGGCACCGGCTTTACCCGGATCCCAAACCAATGGTTCACATAGGCTCCAATATCCTGAAGGAACAAATGGCATATGAACCAATCGTTGGTCACCGACTACCATGAGACTACATCTTCTTACAATGCTCCACTACCTTGTGGATCAAATCTTTAGGTCGAAGGCTCCTTATAATATATTGTTCACAATAATATCAATATAATTAAATGAATTCTACTTACCAAATATGTTAAATAGGATATTTTTGGAAGATTTTGTGATGCAGCAAATTTAAATGTTACTGTTGTTAATAATAATAATAAGGATAATTGTAAACGATTTTCATTAGCTGGTACAGAGAATGCAGAAAATGATAATAAACATAATACACAACTAATTAATATCATATTCACAAGAAAATAACCAGAACGACGTGCTGAACGACTTGTAAATACTAAACCAGGATGACAACGTTTACTTGTACTAGGACTATAACCTGTTTGAATCTCTATAGATTTAATCTAAAGAAGAAAAATAAGAAATTATAGTAGAATTATATGAAAGATTGAATAATAGAATGTAGTTTATATTATACAATTCATGTCGGTTAAAGATAGGTATCATTTATCTTAGTACAATGAGAAGTCATTGCGTAATTTTGTGAATTAATTGATGTTAGATGTCGACCGAATGAGACTGAATCTAACGAGCGGGATTGTAGGTGCGTACTGCTGAGGAGTCCTATAATAGAACGATACGTTCATTTAGTGGACAACTGATAGACTCGTTTGAAGTAAAGATTTGGGTTAGGTAAGGTTGCTTACTCTTATTCGTTCTCTTTCTCCTGGTGATCGACTGGATTATGAAGATGTCAACATCTGGAGAGAAACATGAGGTACAGTGGACAGCTAGGATGCAGATGGACGATCTAGACTTTGCAGATGATCTAGCACTTCTATCACACACACAAATAACAAATACAGGAGAAAACGACCAGTGTAGCAGCAGCCTCAGCAGCAATGGGTCTCAATATACACAAAATGAAAAGCAAGATTCTGGGATACAACACAGCATGTAACAATAGAATCACACTTGACGGAGAAGATTTGGAAGATGTAAAATCCTTTACATATATGAGCAGCATCATTGATGAATACGGAGGATCTGATGCAGATGTGAAAGCGCGGATCAGTAAAGCAAGAGTAACATATTTACAACTGAAGAACATCTGGAACTCGAAACAATTGTCAACCAACACAAAGGTCAGAATATTCAATACAAATGTCAAGACACTAATACTGTATGGGGCGGAAACTTGGAGATCTTCGAAAATCATCATCCAGAAGATACAAATGTTGTCTACGTTAAATATTTTCGGTCCGTTGACCAGTCACTATCAGCAACAACCTATTGTGAGAGAGGACAAACCAGATTCTAGTGGAGGAAGAAATCAGGAAGAAGGGCTAGAGGTGGATTGGACACATATTGAGGAAAGCACCCAACTGCGTCACAAGCTAAGCCCTTACTTGGGAACTTCAAGGTCAAAGGAGAAGAGGAAGACTAAAGAACACATTACACCAAGAAACGGAGACAGACATGAGAAGAATGAACAAAAATTGGATATATCTAGAACGAAGGGTTCAGGACAGAGTGTGTTGGAAAGTGCTGGTTGACGGCTTGTACTTCTTTATGGGGATTAACAGGCGTAAGAAATTATGTTGAGATAGAAGATGTATCATATATCAGAAACTCTAAGTTCACAAAGATATAATACTATGAGACACGAAAGTGATCTTGAGAATGTTCACCTACTATTACGAACTGATATAAGCTAAAATGTCCAAAAATTACTTAGATAAATGTATGAATGAATTTTGCTCTGAAATCTATGATCTGTTATTTCAAATCTGATTGATTTGTCCATAAATTATAGTCTTTTCGTCTTGGTTGATATATATCATTCTGTACAAGTTGTCTTGATATAGCTATTATGACACAAGGTGATCAGAATAGATAATATGGCTAACAGTGAAATCTAAGATAGCGCTACTATTCTGCTTGAGACTCGTCAGCTGAATGTACGTGCATCACTTCGAGACTGGAATCTAGTACTATTCACTTCAAATGTTATAGCGTTATGTACTTTGTTACTGAGTTTAATTAGTCACTTGTTTATGTGATGGCGTTTGAAGCGAACGTCACTTGATTCGAGTCTCTTGGTGGAAATCAACACTGGAATGTATGTATACCCAACTGTGGTTCACATCTTGTCGTGTAGACTTTGGTGTTGATTGGTTCTCGTTGACTTTAAACTTGTCATTGTTTACTTCATTGTTTTGGTTGTATCTCTCATCATCCACCTGAGCTAAGAATCTTCTACACCATCTCAAAATTGATATTCTGTGTAAAATGTATGTTTTCTTTATCGAATTGATTTGGTTTTGTTTACCTGTAACTTCTTATTGTGTGCACCCAGTGAGGACTATCTCGATAATACCAACAAGAGACTGATCAATCGTAGTCCTAAACTACAATGAGAAGATACAAGCTAACAATACGAAGTGAATTTAAACCCCAATGCACAAGTAGTGGTTATCAGGACTCAGTATCTAAGTGCATAAAGACATAGCGTTGGAACTGAACGTTACTTGGTTTCAGTCCCAGAGTAAACATTAACTCTGTGATGCAGGTACATCCAGCTGACGAGTCTCAAATAAGTCGAAACATATGTCTTGAATTCCATTACTAACCATCCCTATTCTAAACAGCTTAAATAAGAAAGCATAACTGTTGTTCTAGACCATATTATTACCCTTTAATTGATATGAACTTCTATCAGTGAAAGCATCTACATGGGTTATAAATTGTCTTTATTATTTCAATATTCATAAACTGAAGACAATTCAACAAATGAACAAATGAATAGATGATCAACTTTTACTAGCCATTTATTTTGCCTTCATTTAAATCGGATGATGTTTGTTGACAAGCTCACCACTTTAGTGGCTTCAGGATCTGACTCCAATGAGATCGTATAGGTTTAACATAATAACCGACACTACAAATAAATAGATTATTAACTTACATCAACATGATGAAATATTTTCCATTCTTGACTATCAGCTGCACATCTTACATCAACTTGACTAACTTCTGTTGGTGAAGCAACTAATTCCACTTCATCTGTGGTACGATCACATGTGATGGTAACGGATAGATCCTTATTTTTAGTAATAGGAAAAAAAATTAGCACAGAATTATGAGTATTTAAATGTGTGTAATGAATGTCAGAATGAGGGTTGATGAAAATTGTAGTAATTTAATGGTTGACCATCATGAAAAATCTAAAAGCATTGGACAAACGTTTAGTCCTAGTATAGGTCTCCTTAACAGTGCGCATCTACGACATCGCGCATGAGACTCAACTTCAGGACTTTCGGTCTCATGTGCGAACCATTAAGTAAGCAATCATTTAACAATGCTAATGTTTAACTTTAACTAATCCACAATATTGCGTGGCTGTTCATCATTGTCTTTATTGAGTAACTGCTTCACAACAGACATGATTTAACTCCACTGATCATATCTATTCACTAGAACTGTAAGAAACATATCTTGAAGAGTCCCATAGTAGAACGAAACGGCCGTCCAATGCTTCCAGGTTTTCCATGATGGTCTACCTTCAAATGACTCATGATCTTAACCAATAGAAATATAGATTAGTAATGAAAGAGCACTATATTCCAGTAGTTATATCAAAGTATACAGATAATGATGAAGATAAATTTGATTAAGGGAATATGACTATTGATTGATATCAGACTGGATTGTAGTTGGTAATCAAACAGTATTAGATAGATGTTTGCTACTAGTTTGACATTTTTCAAGGTAGCTTCTGTTGCTTTGAACGAGATGGTTTAGATGAATATACTTTTCATTGTCATCATGGATAACATCTTCAGAGTTAACTTCAAGTAGGAATAAACACTTTCGTCTGTTATACAGGGATTGAATTAATCCATTCTGATCATCTTCATTGATAGTAGGATCTCATGAATTTCATAGGTCCTTATATTTCCTACTGGTTGTGTTGTATGGTATTCAGTGGAGCATCGTACGGTAGTTTCTGAAATCGACAGTGTCAGATAGGAGTGTTGTAAAGGTAAAAGCATTTTGAGTTTAGAATAATTGTGAGATTAGAAGATAAGCTATAGAAGACAGTCTACAGTTAGTATAGGTTGCGGAATATAGAATGGATGATAAAATGGAAGGTTATTGACTGAGTGCATAAATTTGATGAACAATTTGATATGTTACTAAATTTTGATAATTGAAATGAATTATTTGGATACATGACACCATCTTATCTCAACATAATTCACTCAATGTGGAATCACCTAGACTAGTGGCCACATTGCAACTTGGACGATAGGATTCGATCAGCACTAATAAAAACCTGAAAACACACGTGACATTGATTACCATCCAGTGATCAATCAATTGTAAACAGATCTTAGTCCTACAGGAGGTCAGTCGAGGCCCGGATAGCCCTGTAGTTACGTCTCTGACTGTGGGCCTGGGTGAAACGGGGTCGAATCGGTCAGATACACTATACTGATGAGTGTCAAGCAGTACGAAACCTAGGTCCAGGGTTTCCTATTGATTACCTCCAACCACCATCTTATCTCAACATAATGCATACAATGTCGAGTCATCTAAACTAGTGACTACATTATAACTTCGTCGATAACATTCAATTTGCACTAAGAAGGACCTGATACACATGATATTGATCATTATCTAGTGCTCAATCAATGGTGTTGCTTTTTCTATATACATCAATACTTCCAGTACAATATAGTTTTTGTATATAGATGTAAAGAACTTGTTATAATGTTAAAAATATCTGAATAATCTGGACAATTATGTTGAAAGTATTCAGATATATTCAGTATAATAATGCTGTATATTTCGAGCATAACCAATGGATCTGATGTAAATAGCATACTTTCAACTAGATCATCATCAACTAATTGACTTAAAACAACTGTCAACTAATATCTAGGTCATAATCTTCGATATGAACGTCAACAAAGTCCTATTGTATGGAGTTGAAATGTTTTGTTCTTTGAGCTGGATGGTTTAGTCGTGGAGGTAAGAGAACAACACTCCATCAAAATCATCCACTTGAGCTACAAATCTTCTCCACCATTTCAAAATGATAGGAGTTGAAATGTGGAGAACTACTACAACGATCATTAAGAATGTACAACTATTTATCAACAATTTTCTACGTAAGATATTTAATATCTGTTAACCGGATACCATTAGCAATAGCCTACTATGGAAGAGAACAAATCAACTTTCAGTTGAAGAGGAAATCAAGAAAAGATGTTAGAAGTCGATAGGAGACACATTGCCGAAATCACCAAACTGCATCAAGAGGCAAGTTTTAAAAGAGGAAGACCGAAGAACATGAAAGGATGAATAGTAACTTGAACCAATTGGAAAAGACTGCCAAGGACTTAATTCGATGAAAAGTGTTAGTGAACAACCTATGCTCCTTCAAAAGGAATAACAAATTTATATCAGTAAGATGCAGATGTAAAGGTGAGGAATGGCAAAGCATTCCTTCAATTGAAGAACATATGAAACTCAAAACAACTGTCTCTCAACCAATATCAAAGTCACAATCTTCAATACGAATGTCAAGGCAGTTCTACTGTATGGAGCTGAAACGTGGAGAACTACTACAACCATCATCAAGAAGGTACAAGTATTTATCAATAGCTGTCTACGCATGATACTCAACATCCATTGGCCCGATACCATCAGCAACAGCCAACTGTGGGAGAGAACCAACCAGCCTCCAGCTGACACATCAAATTAGGAAAAGACGATGGGAATAGATAGAACATACATTGAGGAAATCATCAAACTGCATTACGAGGTAAGCACTAACTTGGAATCCTGAAGAGAAGAGAAAAAGAGGAAGGCCGAAGAACACATTACGTTGGGAAATAGAAGCGGATATGAAAAGGATGAATAAGAACTGAAAAGAGCTTGAAAGGATTGTCCAGGACAGAGTTGGATGGAGAATGCTGGTGAGCAGCCTATGCTCCTTCGTGAGGAGGAACAGGTATAAGTATGTAAATAAATTAGTAATGTCAGTAAGTAAGCAAGTCTATAATATAAATGCATATTCAATTATTCTCTACATATAGACAATTATTAAGTGGAATCAAATTATAAGACATTTTGATGAAGTTTTCTACTCTGAGCTGAATGCATAGAAGTCCTTCTATCTGATGTTTATGCTGATGATGTCATTCACAATGATGATAAAAGCTCCATGATCAAACCATCCAGATTAGAGAACGAATCTCTATCAAAATTATCCACTTGAACTACAAATCCTCTCCAGCCCCCAAATGCCCTGGTACGGCCGAGAGTGAAGAGAGTCCGCTCTCCCTCTCCAAATGCTCTCACGTAACCACGCGTATATCGCCTCTTCCAGGGAAGTCCTAGTCAATGCCTTCTCGCAACACTGGTGTTGTTTACGAAAATGAGAGGACGAAAAGCGAATGTCCGGCACCGGCTTTAACCGGATCCCAAATCAATGGTGCACATGGGCCCCAGTATCCTGAAGGATCAAATGGCGTATGAAGCAATCGCTGGTCACCGGCTAGCATGGGACTGCATCTCCTCACGATGCTCCACTATTTTATGGATCAGATCTTCAGGTCGAAGGCTCCGGATGTGGCTTCCCTCATAAAACCACTTACTTCGGTTTCAGCACCCGTTCAGTATCACAGCCCTCACACATATTTAAATGAGATCTGTGTGGCGCATATATATATATATATTTGGTGCCTTCTTGTACCAATATCTATGTTTTAAAATTAATGAATAAATAAATAAGCATCTATGAAACATTTGTACAATACTATTATTACATAACCATAGACTTTAATTAATCTATATTATTACCATTAGAAGATAAAGGAGAAAGGAAAAAATAACGAAATAGTTTTATTAAATTACCTGACAATCAAATGGAAAATGTCTTAATTCCAATGTTTCATGAAAGATACCTTTAATTCGTCGTTTCTCTACAAGATATGCTTCAAAATCTGGTTCAATAAATTCTACTTCATGACTAACTATTTCAATTGGTTCACCTTCAGCATTATCAATTAATAAACGAGGATTCCAAAATTCATCATCTTGTAATTTTAACTTTAATAAAGGAAGAAATAAAATATGGAATATTTCAATTATATATGTACTTTAGTCATAAAAAATATAATTGAAGAGATTAAGATCATGCATTGATTAATGTTCGATTCATGGATCAATGAAAGTGAGATATCAACAGCATTGGATGCTAGTTGGTTCAGTGGTCTAGAGGTTAAGCATTCATGTGTGAGATCTAAAATCATGAGTTCAAATTCAACATGTGGGATCGTGGATACGTACTGTTGAGGAGTCCCATACTAGGACGAAACAGCCATTTAAGGCATCCAAGTTTTCAATGGTTGTCTATGTTATATTGATTCATGAATTCAACTATTAAAATTACTATAATATCCATAAAATCCCTTCTGATATCAGTCATTTGTTGGCACTTTATAACAATTGCATTAGATTATTTAGGTTATTGAATTCTGATCTTATAAGACGAAATAATTTAATATTCTCAGTTGATAAGAAATGAACAAGAATTAGATGGAACTAGAAAAGAATGCCTAAGACAGAGTAGGTTGGAGAATGCTGATCAGCGGCCTATGCTCTGTTAGGAGTAACAAGCGTAAGTAAGTAAGTAGGAAAGGAGTAGAAAATAGTGTTCATTTTAACTTATTGAAACACCAGAAGAAATCATAGTAGATATACAATGACTTATATTGTATTCACATGAACAGGTTCAATTCAATGATAGTTAACTGTTGAGTCAACCAGATCCGAAATAATGACCTACGATCACAACTATCTTGGATCTATTCAGAAATGAAATGAATTTGATTTTCCATACAGTATGATTCGTTTAAATATTCTAAATTTTGCCTAGTTAATTATTGAGTATGGTTGGCGTTTTGTTGAGCAAGATTTTTTTCTATGGGATGGGAGGTTGTCAACCTAATGCTCAACCTTTCTCCTTTACTTGGGTGTAGGACTGACAGTAACTGTGGAAAAGCTACAAGCGGAGGGCCGCATTCCTACAATTAAAGAACATATACAACTGAAAATCACTGTCAACCAATAATCAAAGTTATAATCTTCAATACGAACGTCAACACAGTCCTACTGTATAGAGCTGAAAGGTTGAGAACTACTAAAACCATCATCAAAAAAATGCAAGTATTTATAAACAATTCTCTATGTAAGATACTCAATATTCATTGGTCGGATACCATCAACAACCGTATTTTGTAGGAGAAAACAAACAAACTATTGTCTTAAGAGGAAATTAAGAAAAGACATTGGAAGTGGATAAGACATACATTACGGAAATCACTGAGGCAGATGATAACTAGGAATCCTGAAAGAAAGCATAAAAATAAAAAAACCAACGAACATATGACGTCAGGATATGGAATCAGACATGAAAAGAATGAATAACAACTTAAAACATCTGGAAAGGATTACCAAGTGCAGGGTTGGATAGAGAGTGCTGACTTATAACGTAACATTTCCTATTAAACTCTTTTTCTTTATTTTGATAAACAATAAAATGACGTAATCCTTGCCTGTTCAACATGATACTTGAAGTTTTACCAATAAACAAGTTATCAATTAAATAAATGCCAAAGAAACAACTTTGGTGAAACTGTGGTGCGCACTACTTATATTGATATAATAAGTAGTATATAACGTGAGTTAAAAACCTAATGTCTGGCAGTAGAAGATGGGGAAAGATCAAGAAAGGAAGAGCGGAAACACAATGGAATTTGTATGAAAACGTATGAACAATGAAATATCAGATAATGGATTGATGTTTACAACAAGAACAGTTCAGTTTGATATGATGGATTAATATTTTACAACTAACTCTGTAATGTCAAGCTGAATACAATTCGGTTGTTCTCACCAGTGTTCTCCTTCACTACAAGACTATCATTTATGGACGACCTTTGTGAGACCCTCAAGTAACCTTGAGAATGTCTACCTATTTACTAGATCTAAATGAGGCTTATAAAGTAGTTTGAAGAATAAGGATTATGATTTATAGTTGGTAGTTAAGGTAATGAATTCGATTTAGGCTATTCAATCACAAACTGTTGAAATTACTACAATCTTCACAAAAACCCCTTCTGATACTAATCATCATATGCTCACTAGTGAATGACTTTAAGAGGTATATCCTGGAGTTCTAGTAAGAAGTAGTGACCAATGGAGTTCAACCATGTCTGTTGTGAGATAGTAACTCACTGAAGACAATGGTGGATGTGTCGCTCAATTTGATGGATTAGTTGAAGTTAGACACTAACACTGTTAGATGCCGACTCAGTGGTCTAGTTGGTTAAATGCTCGCCATGCGAAACCAGTATTTCATGGGTTCGAATCTCACAGCGGGTGAGGTCGTGGATGCGCACTGCTGAGTCCCACAACAGGTCGAAACGGCCGTCCAGTGCTTCCAGGTTTCAATAGTTGAAGCTAGACTACCATAGAAAACCTGGAAGTACTAGAAGATTGTTTCGTTCGATTGTGAGACTCCTCAGAAGTGCGCATCCAAGATCCCATCCGCTGCGAGATTCAAAACCAGGACATATCAGTCTCTCACGCGAGTGCTTAACCGTTAGACCACTGAGACGGCATCCAATCGTGCGCACTGCTGAGAAGTTTCATCCGTGGACGAAATGGCCGTCCAGTGCTTCCAGGTTTTCCATGGTTGTCTAGCATCAATTGACTCATGATTTCAACTATTGAAGCTTGAATTGTATCTAGTCCAGTGTTAGATAATTAGAAACAAAAGGTATATCATTTTGAGTGTATTATTAGTTCTCATTGGTGGAAACCAAGTTATCATCTTTCAAAAAGATTCGTCTATTATTTATTATACTTTCTACTTCATCACTTAACTGAATATTAGGCTAAATGATCCTATTTACTCCTTGAAATAATCATAATCAATGTAGATGTGTAGTGAACAAGAACACAAGTAGGAGACAATCGAATATATTTGACTAGAAATTACAGAACATGTTAACAATCATATAGTAAATGCTTAATTTGTATAATATCCATTACTTGTCTTAAAATGACTCAGACTTCCTTTGTTCTTGTATTTTCATACAAATTACATTCTCTTTCCATTCTTTACTGTCCAATCCTTATGTCTCTCTGCTCCTGGACATTCTGTTCCTGACTAACGTAATATACTACTTATGTCAATATAAGTAGCACATACCGCAGATATACATATATAACATTAACAAAGTATCATTAGCTCATTTCATACTTTATGGATATCACTGATTATCACCACCAGCACCACCACCACCACCACCACCACCATCATCATCATCATCATCATCATCATCATCAACATCATCATCATCCAAATCATCATCCAAATCATCATCATCATCATCATCCAAATCATCATCAAAATCATCATCATCATCATCATCATCATCATCATCATCCAAATCATCATCATCATCCAATCATCATCATCATACAAATCGTCCTCATCATCATCATCATCCAAATCATCATCATCATCATTATCCAAATAATCCTCATCCGAATCATCATCATCCCCATCATCCAAATCATCATAATTATCATACATATGATTATCATCATCATCATCATCATCATCATCATCCAAATCATCATCATCATCATCAATCAAATATTCATCAACATCATCCAAATCATTATCATCATCATCATCATCATCATCATCATCATCATCATCATCATCATCATCATCATCATCATCATCATCATCATCATCATCATCATCATCATCATCATCATCATCATCACCAAATCATCATCATCATCATCATCCAAATCATCATCATCATCATCATCATCATCATCATCAACATCATCATCATCCAAATCATCATCATCATCATCCAAATCATCATCATCATCATCATCATCATCATCATCATCATCATCCAAATCATCATCATCATCCAAATCATCATCATCATCATCATCATCATCATCCAAATCATCATCATCATCATCATCCAAATCATCATCATCATCCAAATCATCATCATCATCATCATCATCATCATCATCCAAATCATCATCATCATCATCATCATCATCATCATCCAAATCATCATCATCATCATCATCATCATCATCATCATCATCATCATCCAAATCATCATCATCATCCAAATCATCATCATCATCCAAATCATCATCATCATCATCATCATCATCCAAATCATCATCATCATCATCATCATCATCCAAATCATCATCATCATCCAAATCATCATCATCATCCAAATCATCATCATCATCATCATCATCATCATCCAAATCATCATCATCATCATCATCCAAATCATCATCATCATCCAAATCATCATCATCATCATCATCATCATCATCATCATCATCATCATCATCATCATCATCCAAGTCATCATCATCATCATCATCATCATCATCATCCAAATCATCATCATCATCCAAATCATCATCATCATCATCATCATCATCATCATCATCATCATCATCCAAATCATCATCATCATCCAAATCATCATCATCATCCAAATCATCATCATCATCATCATCATCATCATCCAAATCATCATCATCATCATCCAAATCATCATCATCATCCAAATCATCATCATCATCCAAATCATCATCATCATCATCATCATCATCATCCAAATCATCATCATCATCATCAACAACAACAACATCAACCACAACAACAACATAAGTATAATTTGATGACAGAGATCAGTGAGACCATAGTTTATAGACGACCATTAAACGACGTTAAAGTAACTTGGAGAGTGTTCCCTTAATAGCTAGAACCAAATGAGAGTTATAAACCATTGTGTAAGGAATTAGAATTCTGATTTACAATTGATGATGATGAGGTTAAAGTTTAGAAATTCGATTTAAAGTTTTCATTATAAACTAACATTAGCTAATCATATAAAAACTCTATTAAATCAAATGTATCTAAGATTTGTTATCTTATATCTAATTAGTTTGTCCATAAATTATAATCTCGTTCAGAG